TGGCGAAGAAGTTTCAGCAGCAGGAGTTCTAACTAGAGTGCCAACAAAAAAGTAGCAGGAATACCATCAGCAATAACAGCAGCAACTAGAGCAGAAGCACACTCAGTATCAGGAGATGGAGGAGATGCCCCCCCCCCTCCTCGGTTATCCTCTTTAAAAAGCGAGAGTGAAGACGATGAAGAAAAAGAAGAAAAGATTCTAGAAAATAAAAAGGTGCTTGTCGAAAAGGGTGGAGAAGGCCCTGGATAAATCTAAATCCCAATTCGCCCCTCTTGCTATATATTTACAGAATCTGAAATGTTATTGGTCCTGACCTGACATCTAAACATCAGTCACTTTACCAACGGCGTAACGTAGTTTCCCTTTGCCTTTAATAAATGAAATCTCTTTTTTAATAACGAGACTATAAATTTAAGCGCAGTACTAGATTGGCCGTAAGGTCTCATCATTTTATAGTTGAAATGGCTAGATGTAACCACAAGTTCTATACTATCAGCTTCTTTGCTCGCACTTCTCGGTTGTTGGACACTCTTCTGGTTTCTTGCATCTAAATCAACTTTGATATTCATAAATTTAAATCCATTGTCAATCGTTAATTTCTGTCTTCTTAATATCTGTTCTTTTATTGTCCTTTCTCCTTAAAATAAATCAAGAAATCTCTCGTTAATTTTATCACCTTCATAACGAAATATCTCTATTTTAATCGTCTGAGAGAATCCTTGTTACCTTCGATCAGAATGGCTGATGCTAACCTCCAAGTGTCTGACTAGATGAGCCCTCTCGGGCTAAGGTTTTCCGCTGACATGAAATGGACAGATGAGATTGAAAAACTTGTTAGGTCTTCTGCTAGGAAATTTGGTTCATTGTGTCGTGCCAGACAATTTTTCTTGCCAGAATCTATTTTACATATTTATAAGACTACCATTCGTCCTTGCTTTGAATACTGTTGCCACGTCTATATATTTAGATAATCCTTGATAAAATCTAAAGTAGAATTTCCAATGTTATTGGTCCTGACCTGGCATTATGCCTTCAGTCACATTCCCACTGATGTAATGTAGCTTTCCTGTGCCTTTTCTATCAACAGTTTCATGGTAATTGTTCTGACGAACTTGCCTTTATGGTACTGAGATTTTATGAATGTAAGCTCAGTACTGTTTGGCGGCAAGGTCTCATCATTTTACATTTGTAACGGCGAAATTTAACCGTAAGTTCTATGCTAAGAGTTTCATCCATCGCACTTATTACTTATGGAGTTCTCTCACGGCTTCTTCCTAGGCAACTTTTAAATCCAAAAATTTAAACGCAATGTGAATCGTTATCTATTGTTTTCTTAATTCTTTTTCGTTGAGCTCAGATTCAGGGTTGCCTGATTATGCAAGGTTAAAAAGATATATTAATATATTATACTAGCCATTATCGTTGCTTTTATGGTTCAAGCGGAGTAACTCTTATTTTTCTTTTGTATCTAAATGATTATTTATATTTCAGCTTTCTTTAAACAAACAATATTTTAAATATCTAAAAATATTTTCAAGTGAATATTATTTTAAAATATTTTTTGGCATATTAAACAAATATGTTTAAGTTAATCTAATTTAAAGTTCCAGAGATTCTTGATAAATTCCAAATTTTGCAATGGAATCTCGGCTTCAGTCCCTTTCTCACTGTCGTAACTGATCTTCCCTGCGCATTTTTTATAAATAATTTCGTGGTAATTGCTCACATTAACTTTCCGCTATGGTACCTAGACTTTATGAATTTAAGCTCAATGCAAGATTGACAGCAAGGTCTCATCATTTTACATTTGTAACGGCGAAATGTAACCGTAAGTTCTATTCTAAGAGTTTCATCAATTGCACTTCTTACTTATGGAGCTCTCTTCCGGCTTCTTCCTAGTCAACTTTTAAATCTAAAAAATAAACGCAGTATCAATTGTTATCTATTGTCTTCTTAATTCATTTCTTTTTAATGTTCTCTCTGCTTAATTGTAATTTTTTTCTCATATTCTCTAACAGTCAGTGACCCCCCCTTGCGTCTTAGCGACTTTATTTCCTTACTTGGGTTGAAACGATTTAAAGAAATAATTTGCTTAAGAAGGAAAATTTTTAGTGGTAACCACTTATGGCCTTTTCATGATAGGTGTTCAAAAACAACATAGTTTTCTCCTTTTCTGTCGAAGTCATCAGGGAATGCTTCGGAACTTACGTCTCTTAATGCATTGAAAAGGCATCGGATGGGGGCAGAGGGGAAAGGGATCTCCGTCGACTAACATTTATTGAATTATTATCAATTTCCAGTCTCCGGAGAGTAACAAACTTGGGAATTCATGATAAAAGTCTTCCCATTTTTACAATTATCTTTTTTTTTTGTCAGTAATATTTCTTGAAAGAACATCGAACAACAGTTGCAATGGGGAAACAGCGTAGAGGTGCATGCATATCGATTTATTTTGCTGAATAAATTAAGCCTTTTAAAACATTTTACGGAAAGGTTTGCTCTATTCAAAAGAGAGAGAGAGAGAGAGAGAGAGAGAGAGAGGAGGGCGAATTTCACGGAAGATGTTCTTTTTATAGATTTCGGTAAAGTGGTTGAAATTCGTGCATAATTGAGGTGAGGGGATACCTGGGGGACATTACCAGCGCAAAGAATATTCTCGCATATCCATTTTGAAATTTTTCAATTCAGTACTTTTACGATGAATAGTTTTATGTATATTATCATCATCTATATATAACAGGTAAATATCAATTTTATCTATTGACAAAGGTTTAAGGATGATTTGCAAAGAATTTTGTTTCGTTTTGTTTTCTTATAAAAGAACGCGAGTCAGAATCTGCTGAAGATAAATATTACTCAATCGCCCGTGATGTATCAATCGCTTGCTAGGATGGGCGGGTCATATAACAGAATAAAAAAAAATCGGAGAGCCGAGTTCGAATTCCAGTCAAGTTCGATACATTCAATTACGCGCAAATAGATTTCTCAGAGATATGAATCTGTCTCTTCCCTGCCAGCTATGGATTAAATAATAAGTCCGACTGGAATCTCTAGCAAAGGATAAGGACAACGCAAAACAATAAGTATCTAATCACCGGTTGCATTTTGGTAACGCATAGCACCCGGAATTCACGTTTCCAGTGTTCCAATGAAGACGTCAGAAGCGGAATGATTAATATAGTTAAGGGCGTAATCTAACGGGACAGATTTGAGTCAGTGAAAGATTCCAACATGGTGGATTCTGTGTCGTCCCACATGATGTGTTCTCTGGCGTCTCTGGCCCCCCCACGCTACTACATAAAATGCTATCAACGAAAAGGACCATTTCTTTTTCTTATTCGTTTTATTAGAAGATAGTTGTGGCAGCTTGGATTCCAACGCAACGGGAGGAATGACGTCACTAGAATGCATGTCGCGCGTTGGCGCAGTTACCCTCCGCTGGTGATCGTAGCCGGTGGCTAACCTGGGTGTGGGAGGCGTATCGACGCTTCAGAATTCTTGCGGTCCTCCATTGAATTCACGCCGAAAGGGACAGGTAGCAGTAGTGGCGATGCTATGTGGTGTCTCAACAGACTTCCTAATTAATCAGTTACGATCTTTCAATTTCAAGCTTATCTCTGACTTTTATGATGTCAGAGAAAATGTCTTTTTTTCCTGCTAAATTTTCAAAAACACGGAGCCGATGAGCCAATCAAGTTAGAGAATTACAGATTGAGTTTGGTTTAAGTCTTTTAGCCTGACGTTCCTTAACAGATCGTGCCACAGAGAATCGTTCGTTTGACCAGGTCGATTTTACTGCTTTTAAACTTCAATCTTCCATAAATGACGGTTCCGTATAGGATACGGTTTCGATTCCTGTCGGAGAACGAATATTTTCTATGAAAATTCCTCGGACATTCAGGCTGGTAAATGTTATTAATACTGTTTATTATAAAACAGAACATTTACTTAAATATTTGTATCTATAAAAAGAATGTATAAACATAAAAATATCTTAAAATAATTGTCGGACTTTGTCCATTTCATAATGTATATATACATATATACATACATACATACAACTGGCCAGAGAAAAACGTCAACACCCAACGTAGAAGAGCCCATGTAGTTTCTCAAGTTTCATTCTATTACGATCTTCAGGCCACTAAATATTATACATGCATTACTCCAAGCGTTATTTTGTTAATATTCATTATTAAGTAGACACAGCAGTTTTTGAAGCAGTGTAAATTACCTCTACCGACTTGCGTATTTGATAAAGAGAATGGGCGCTCTGGCAAGGCTTGAAACTGGGTTTACATTAGACCGATCGGTTATAGCCTATATAGTTCAATCACGTTTGCAATCAGATCTTCTCAAAAATCGATATCTGCACATTTTTTCGTCTTCGAAACATACTGTTTAAAAAAAATCAGGGCGTCCACTCAAAATGGTTCATCCAAAAATAACGTTTGAAAATAATGTTGGATAAATAAAAAACAATGCGATCCAAAATGGTTCATCAAAAATCAATCCACAAAATGGTCAAAAATTCAGTTTCAGGAATTCCCTCAAAATGGAATGTAAATCAAAAATAAAACAAAGTCCTTCAAAATATTTTAGCTCAAAAAAAAAAACGAGGGCGTCCACTCAAAATGGTTTTATTACAAAAAGAAAAAAGAAAGACATGAAAGAAAGAAAGGCGAAAGAAAGAAAGACATGAAAGAAAAAAGACATGAAAGAAAGAAAGAAACAAAAAAAAAAATGATCCTTTAAAAAAAAAGAATCAGTTTCAGGAATTTCAGTTGGAAAAATAAAAAAAAGAATGTCAGAATTAAAAAAAACGACCGAATTTCATCAGAATGAAAAAAAGGAATAAAGAAAGAAAAGAGAAGAGAAAGAAAAAGAAAGAAAGAGAGAAAGAAAGAAAGAAAGGAAAAGAAAAGATTTCCTTAAAAATTAAAAAAAATGTCAGAGAGAATGAAAAAAAAGAAAGCGAGAGAAGAGAAAGAAAGGGAAACGTCGATTTTTCTGAAAAAATAAAAATAAAATCAGAATTGTGTATTTGTAGAAAGAAAGAAAGAAAGAACGAAAGAAAAAAGACAGGAAGAAATAAAGGAAGAAAAAAGAAAGAAAGAAAGAAAGAAAGAAAGAAAAAGAAAAAAACAAAGAAAAAGAAAAAGAAAGAAGCAAAGAAAGAAAAGAAAGAAAAGAAAGAAACAAAGAAAGAAAGAAAAAGAAAGAAACAAAGAAAGAAACAAAGAAAAAGAACCAAAGAAAAAAGAAAAAGAAAAAGAAAGAATGAAAGACAGAAAAAAGAAAGAAACAAAGAAAGAAGAAACAAAGAAACAAAGAAAGAAAGAAAAAGAAAGAAAGAAAGAAAGAAAAAGTAAAAACAAAGAAAACGAAAGAAAAGAAACAAAGAAAGAAATAAAAAGAAAGAAACAAAGAAAGAAAGAAAAAGAAAGAAAGAAAAAAGAAAGAAAGAAAAAGAAAGAAAGAAAGAAAGAAACAAAGAAAAAAAAAAAAAAAAAAAAAAAAAAAAAACAAACAAAGAAAGAAAGAAAAGAAAGAAAGAAAAACAAAAAACAAAAAAAAGAAAGAAAGAAAAGAAAGAAAGAAAGAAAAAGAAAGAAAAAGAGAGTAATCAGCAGAGCGAAGCAAGCAATTTAGCAAATCCATTTTCCAAGATGGAAGAGGGAACGATAAAAGTCAAATCGTAAAATCACACATTTCCGTTCAACTCAAACTGCATTTAAATCACAAAAAAGTAATAAACATTTTCAAAATAAATCAGAAAATGTGTAGATCGATCGAAAATATTTCCCAGCCTCTTCCATAAATTACTCGTATTGAATGTGGTTTGCTATTTCTAATGGCTTCACTAATTTCATAATTTAAAACGTTGACGGCAAAACATGGAACGTGGTATTTTATTAAATTCTAAAACATTCTGTCTACCATTTTAATGTTAGCAAGGTTATTGAATCAAACTTTTATTCCATTTTGCATACATTCATGTGCAATCATTTCCACTTCGCGAATTAACATTTCTATATTGATAATGTACATCATTTATACAGAGGGAAATCAATAACAATTATGGGTATTCGTGTGTTTACATACAAATGATGCTTTTCTATGCTAAATATTTTTTATACGGGAGGATGCTGAAAGTCCTCGGTATAAAGCAATTTTGAAATTATTATGAATATAACCAAAAACTCTTCATATATATTAATTTTCCAAGCCTAGCTTGGATATGGCTCACGGCCGAAAGTAAGGGCACCCAGTGAGGATCGAACTCACTACTCAGTCGTAATTGATCTAGCTTTTTAAGCGTTACACCACATCGAGGTGTATATATATATATATATATATATATATATATATATATATATATATATATATATATATATATATATATATATATATATATATATATATATATATATATATATATATATATATATATATATATATATATATATATATATATATATATATATATATATATATATATATATATATATATGTGTCTTTGGGCAGCAAACACATTTTTTTTAAACTTTCATTAAAGACGACTTGCAAGTTACTTTTGTTTAACATTTCTATTTAATTTTCTCTTTCCTGGAAATAATATTGTCAAAAATTGTCCGAATATTTTGTATGTCTGTACGTTTTCGGCTATTCTTTTAGCCATCATTATAGATGGTTTTCTTATTCTCTGTTCTAAGTGAATGTGTAGATTGTAATGCATTTATCTAGAATCATGAGAATTCTTCTCATATATGATCTTTCTTTAATACGCAAGTATTTTCGACTGTACATTCAGTCATCTTCAGGCCTGGGAACTATTTTGTTTTGGTAAAATTCAGGTAGCATCCGAGACGAAAAAATATAATTCGAATCTAAATATGTTTTTTTTTTTTTTTAATGTGTTATTCTTAAGGGATACAAGCTTTTGGGGCGTGCAGTCGCAACGCTAAGATTGAATTTTCTTGAAGATTTAAGAAAGTACATTTTTTACTAATATGGAAATTTGAGAATTTTTTTGTTTTAAGAGTTTATCAGTCAATGTGGCATGAACTAAATTGTTCAATAAATAGAGTAATGTCTCAGTTGTTATCCCGATCATTTGCACGTTAGATCAGTTCTTTTAAATCAATTATGTAGTGCAGTTCAATTTATATTACAATGAATCATTCATACAAAAATATTGTGGTTATATATATATATATATATATATATATATATATATATATATATATATCCACAGAGACACTAGTATTATTAATAGCAGTAATGGGCGCCTTACAGTAATATCAATTCAAGGTTAGCAGTGCAAGCGGTTTTTTTTCCATCCGATCAACAGTTATATTCATCTTGCTTTCCTTCATTCTCATTTTTAATCACAGCGTTATTTAATAAGTCATATACCACGACTCAAATCTTATATATAAAGTACAGTGTATATGTGTGTGTGTTTGTGCTACTTCTCCGCTCCCACTGGTCTGATTT